AGCCTTCCAAGTAGCCAGAACTACAGGTGCGCGCTACCACGCCCGGCTAATTTTTGATTTATTGTAGCGACAAAGTCTTGCCAAGTTATCTGGGTGGGTCTCGAACCCGTGGGCTCAGGCAATCCACTCGCCTCAGCCTCCCAAAGTGCTGGGATTACAGGTTGAGCCACTGAGCCCGGCCTCTTATGATTTTCTTAATAACATTTTCTTTTCTCTAGATTACTTTATTCTAAGAATACAGTATGCAATACATACATAAAATATGCATTAATCAACTATTTATGTTATTAGTAAAGCTTCTGGTCAACAGTAGTCTATTAGTAAAATCTTGGAGGAGTCAGAAGTTATACTCAGATTTTTCACTTCATGAGTGGTTGGCGTCCTAACCCCCACATTGTCCTTAGGGTCAACTGTATTTGTAAATAATTTATAATTAAAGATTTCAGAGTATTATAGAATTATAATAACTGTTAAACTGTTAAGTTCTTGAAAAATATTTCACAGAAAAGCTTATAAATGAATACGTAAGAGCTAATTTATTTTTTAATTAAAAATTTTTAGTCAAACAATTTTAATCACAATAATAAGCGGTAAAAGTGCAATTACATGAAAAGCCCCATATTTTACATGCTTAAACTGGTTTATGAATGTCTTTATTTGTAAGGTGTTGAAGATGGGAGCCACTCCTGAATCCTCTTTCTAGTGGTGGAATAAGGTACACGTTGTTCTGGATGCTGCTTATGGTTTGTCCATATGAATTTAAGAGCAGTAGGTGGTTTTGTTGTTGGTGGATCAGTGGTCATACAGCCAAGCCAAATGTGCCATCTGGGAGGCACATGCTTCCAGCCACATCCCACAATGTGTCTTTGTCACTTATTTCAGTAGTTTATAAAAATCATCGGTGATGGCAAAAACATTGATTGCTATCTACATAGTATTTGTTTCCATATCTGTCTTCCCCGCCAGTGTACCAACCATCACATCATTTGCCCTGAAGAAAGTTTGTAGATAGCCATCTGGCCACTGACCTGCTGTAGCCCACATTTTAGAACCTGTCTCATCTGGCAGGCACCCCCTCCCGATGCTTAGCATATTATTTACCTTTTTTTTTTTTTGATGAGTTGGAGTCTCACTCTGTCACCCAGACTGGAGTGCTGTGGCACACTCCCAGCCACCGCAGCCTCGACCTGCTGGACTCCAGTGATCCTGTGGATCACTGTGAGTCACATGGGATTGCATGTGACTCACACCTGTAATCCCAGTACTCTTGGAGGCAGAGGCAAGAGGATTGCCTGAGCCCAGGGATTTGAGACCAGTTTGGGCAACTTGGTGAGACCTCATTTCTTTTTTTTTTTTTTTGAGTTGGAGTCTCACTCTGTCACCTAGACTGAAGTGCAGTGGCCGCTCCCAGCCACTACAGTCTTGACCTGCTGGGCTCTGGCGATCCTTCCGCCTCAGCCTTTCAAGTAGCTGGAACTACAGGC